TGATAATGTTTTGGCTGATCCAAAATGCTGTTTAAGATCACCTTCACTGCATAAAAGGAGAGGGGAGGAGAGGCCTCTGCTGCGCTTCTTTTTTTGGCCTGATCTGCTCCTCTTTTTTTACTTTTTTTTTTTTTTAATTTTAATCTTAAATGCTTTGTTTTAGTATTAGTTATAAATACTTATTAACAAGTTTATGTAAATTAATTATTTATTACAAAGTAATTAAATTATTTTCAAGAAAAGTTATTATTTAAAAAAATTTAAATAAAATATGTTATACTAGGACGCATTAAAATACATGTTAGAGAGAGCTGAGATGGAGTGTGTCCGTAAATGATTTTTCTTGGGGGCTTCCTTACCTTCGAAGGAGAAAACGGAATCTCCTGAAGCCGACGTCAAAGGAAACTTCGTACCTCACTGCCGATGATTCCTCCCTATACCATGGAATCTTGTATATAAAAGCACGCACACACCATTCTTGTTATCCTAAAAGATACTCACCGAGTTCAAGTCGACCTCAGGAACCATGAGAGCCACCGGTGATGCGATCGTCCTCCACCCTGTAGGCACATTCAGCGATGTCACCGGCAACCGACAGAGAATCAAAGAGAAGATATTTGCCGATGTGTTCAACTGGGACAAGCCCGTCGACGCTGCCGGAGGTCCAGAATCGGAGCAGATGCTGGTCCTCCGCCGCCGGGCTGGCTCTTTCAGAGACGCAACCCCTTCCCGGAGCAGAGTGAAAGGCGAAATTCTTGCTGCGATCTTCAATCGGAACTCGTCTGGGGGAACAGGCGGCGGCAGATCGTCGGATTTGGTTCTCCTCCGCCTTCCGAGTGGTTCCTTCAGTGATTCCCTCTTTCACTGTTTCGAAGTACTTGGCTATCTGTTCAAAAGGGAACCTATGGACTGAGAATTGGACTCTCTGGTTTCTTCTCCGTTCTACAGGCCATTCGCTTCGATTGCTTTGCTTAGAATTCAGTGATTCCCTCTTTTTGGTTTACGCCGGTGATTGTAAAATTGTTGCAATTCTCCTTTCAGTGAAAAAGAATTAGAATTCTGTTTTAGGCTTTGGGCGATCTGTCATGGGAGGCGTTGTGCTGTTTCACTTTCAGTAAGAATTAGAAGTGGTTTTTCAATGATTTGCCTCATTAAATGTTCTGTTATGTCACCTAGTTTTAATTTAATGTTGATGACGACGCCGATGCGAAATTTGTTTCGCCGATTGCTGTTTCACTTTCGATATAAACTCGAATTGAATTGAATCTTCTTTCAATACTATCTGTATCTCGATGATGGGCGATACTCGGAATTTTCGTCGAAGGTTTTGGTACTGGCATTTTTACATTTTTTTTTCCTTTCATCAGAGGCCCAAGGTAATGTAAACTTCACTAAAAGAATGCAATGTTGGCCCAGTATGCTCAACATGCTCCTAATCAATAGTATTTATGCTTCTTCCTCGTATTTTCATTATATATTAATCTGCTCCAAATTTTGAAAAGAAAAACTGAAAAGGTAGGATAGATTTTTCATTTTAAATTTTTATAAAAATAAATCTATATATATATACATGATACAAACTGTGGAAGAAATAATTGTTTTAATCTTAGTTAATATTACATGCATACAAAATAACAACAAAATTAAGGTTATGTATGATCAATTTTCATCATTACCGTGTTCTTCCAAATATTAACGACAATAAATTTTATTCCACTAGGTATGATTAAGTAAATAATAACAACATACTCTTCCGGTCTTTAATATAAGACCCATTTAACTAATTTGATCAGATTAAGAAAGTTAAGCAAGTTAGTTAATTATAAGAAATGTGACATGTTTTTTCTAAAACACCATAATCATCTTTCTTAATATCTCCTTTCTCTCTTCTACCTAATTATGGTTCAAGGAATATCCATAGGGATAATTTAGAAAAAAACTGATAAATATAATAAATAGGTCTTATAATTAGAACTAAAATCAACTCAACAATTGAGTCCTATATTAAGGATTGGAGGAGTACTACTGAATTCTATTATCAATTAAATTTGTAAATAAATTATTAGGCAAGATGTCTCACTCAATAATCTCATTGAGTATTTTTTTTCCTCTTCTTCCGTCCTTCTTCGTAACGTTTTAAAATGTTTGATCTAGTTTCTTCACTAGCACATAATAGCCTTTTATGCATGCATCCAAATCACTTCAAATATTTTATTATTATTATTTTTCAATAAGTGCCACTCCGACTCTTCCTTATACATTATCATTGTAAATTTTTTATATATATTTTTTTTATGACTACATCTATCTCAACATTTGTATTCCAAACAATTAACAATTTTATAATTATTGGGAGCTGCGATTTTAGGAGTCCCCACAATTATAGTCGATGCCCCAACTGATTTCTGAGCCCAGCTCAGTTAATTAATGGGCTAAATAAGCATATGCACAAAAACTTTGAGCTCACTTATGTAAGTAATGGGCTTCACAATAACATGGGTTGGGATTATGAGCTAATGACAAATGGGTCAAAAACAAAAATGTTGGGTTTAGGAGATATGAGCGGACATAAAGAAACAGGTTTAGTGTACGTCGCAAGTGGTACCTCCAGGAAAAGGAAATTATTAAGATGAATGTGTTATCATATGAAAAAGAAGAAAAATCAAAATAAAAAGTGATTATATAGGAGCAAAAAGTTAATAACATATAGTATTAGTTTGATTGCGGTGGATTCAACAATCAATATATATATATATAAAAGATCACTGAAGATGTTAGGTTTGGAATAATTTGAAGGTAAAACTTGCAGTTCATATCATAAATTTCAAAGTTCAATCATTTGTTAGGTGCTGAGAAGACAAACAAAAAAATAAGGGTAATTGAGGTAAGAATGTTAAAACGAATATGTAATCATATTAGGAAAAAAAAATACAAGATTTAAAATAGGGATAATCACTAAAAAAACACTTAAATAATAAAAATGCTTATTTGAGTTATTGAATTTGTCAAAATCCTAATAAAGTTATATGAGTCAAAGAAGAATTAAAATTTTTTTTTTGAATGATAAGATGACAACAGGTGAAAATTACAAAAGTACAACGCAAAAACAATCAAGCCCTACTCTGTTCACCATTCGTCTCAGAAATGTCAAGAGGAGGGCAATCGAATTTTAAAATTTTATAAAATGATTCTAATGCCACTTTCATTAGAAACATAGAGAATTAAGAATTTTCTATTATTCCCGCATTGAGTAAGAGTTTTGAACAAGAGAAACTTGACGTCTATTATTAAAAAGTCAGAAAATCGGTCAAGGACATAACAGTGAGTTAGTTTTTATATTAAATCTTCCTCCTTTAATCTTGATAGTTTCATCCTGACAGAAAATTATTAATTTAGAATTAAAACATGTTAATTACGAAATAGAATGTTTTAATTTTCAAAGTTATATTGTGATAAAGTTTTGTTCAAAGAATTATTACAAGTGTGTTATAGAGACAAAAAGTTATTAATTTTGAATTGAAATGTGTTTAGCTATGAAATGAAACATATTAATTTTTAAGATTGAATTGTGATAAAATTTTATTTAAAAACTTGTCGCAAATGAGTTATTAAGACAAAAAATTGTGAATTTCGAAGTGAAATGTGTTAATTGTGAAATGAAACATATTAATTTTTAAGATTATGTTATGATCAAATTTTATTCAAAGACTTATTGTAAATGTGTCATAGATATAGAAGGTTGTTAATTTAGAACTAAAATTTGTTAGTTGCAAAATGAAACATATTACTTTAGAATTCTCGTTTTGTTTCTAATAAAAAGAGTATTAGAATCATTTCATCAAATTTTTAAAAAAATTTTAGGTCATATGAGGTGATTAAGAGTTTAATAAATTTAATAACTCAAATAAGAATTTAGGTTATTTACATGTCTTTTCAAGATTTTTTTTAAAAATATTATATACGAGAAAAAATTAATGTTATATGGTAAAGAGATTAATCAAAAGGTGGCTTCGACATATATAATAAATGCCACTAAAATGAAGCTAAGCTTAAAATTTTCAGCTTTGTGAAAAAGACTAGGGAAAGACAATGAAGGGGATTTAAGTTGTCAAATAACGGATCTCATAGTAAACGATACATTTATAGATTTAGTTGCAAATCGAACCATTGTAGCCAATCTTAATTAAGGCTTATTATTATTATTCAAGATTAACGATTTTTTTAATAATTTGCCAAGAAGATTAAAGATTTCAGAGGAAGAAAGCATGCTGACTCCGTGGATTTATCCTTTGAAGACTTGGTCAAACTCGGTGTGACGTGTTCAAACTCGCTACGACCTGGTCGACTCATCAACTTGGTGCCGGATATGAAGACGAGTTACACATATAGGCACCGAGTGGACTCATATACTTAGGATTTAGGAACATACGTGAATGTCCAAAATACACTCCCTGCAGCATTAAATTTGTGAATTGTATCATTTGCAAATACACTGGTCTTTATCTATTACATCATTACATGCATGAATTGAAGATTTTGTAACAAATTAAACATCAGCAGGAAGCTATTATTAATTAATTAAATCAGATTTTGTCTACTCATATTCATTCATGTATTTATTATTTGGGAGATAAGGCATCATACATATGGGAAATTTATTTTCTTAATATATTTACTGAAATTGGAAAACAAATATATTTAGCTATAAAAAAAAAGAGATATTTTCATTAAAGAAATCCACCCTCTTTAATTAATGAATATAACTTTGAATCTGGTCAGTTCATCCAAAAATAATCCTGAAACTAATTTTGTTCCATTGCACCTGGCACTAATGACTGTATACACAGATTAATTGGATTGGACAAAACAAATTAATGTCAATAAATGTATTTTTCCATGGAAGGAGGACGATGAGTGTATATAAAGGACTCACTAGCCTGTGGAAAGCACACAACCAAACCTTCAGTTACAGAACAAAGCTTAGATCAGAGTGAGCAACAATGGCGACAGCAAAGCATGAGAACGGAGCGGTGAAGGCGACGGAGAACGGAGGAGACTCGACGGAGACGAAGAAGGAGTATCTGAACGAGCCATTCATCGACCTGGCTGAGTTCATGAACGGCGATGACGAAACCAGGGCTAGGGCTTGCGAGCTGGTGAGAGACGCGTGCATGAAGCACGGGCTATTCCAAGTGACCAGCCACGGCGTCGACCCGCTTCTGATTCGAGAGGCCTATGAAGAGATTGACTCCATCTTCGGAATGCCTTATGAGAAGAAGATGGTGGCGGCGAGGAACCGCGGCGCCGTGAAGGGCTATTTAGGGACTTTCGATGAGAATTTTTCATCCAAAGTACCGTTCAAGGAGATCTACTCTCTTCATTACAGCAACGTGGGATCTGACTCTCAGGTCATCGACCATTTCAAGTCTGCCTACGGAGATCTCCTTCCTGATCGTACTGGGTACGTAAGGTTCTTTTATGCTCATATGTGTGTGTGTATTTACGCATATATAAAACTTGATGTTATATGTCTCTGGAACCTCACAATCGAAGTAAGGTTCATAAATTTTTAAGGGTAGTTTTCCAATAGGTTAGTTTTTTCAGGTTTGGGTTTCCTTTTGGACTTAAATTCACAATAAATGTGCTTTTATTGAGAGGTAATGATTAATGTCGGTTCTTAAAGGGGAGTGCATTCTCATAATCACACATTGGTCAGCCGTGTGTTTTATAATTTCAAGAGGCTCTTCCACTTAATAGATTACTTTGTTTGAGATTGGGCTTTGTCTTTGACTGGCGTTCATATAACTTTTGATCGTTGTAATTTTGAACAGTTTGATTGAAGGTGATTTGATTGATTATTGTACACAGGAAGGTGTATGAGAGGTACTGTGAGGCAATGAAGGAGCTGTGTGGAGTGGTCATGGAGGTGATTGCAATGAGTCTGGGCGTGGATCGATCACACTTCAAGGAGTATTTCAAAGACGGTGGAGGCATATTGAGATGCAGCTTGTACAGACCCTGCGACAATTCAAACCTGTCCATAGCCAAAGGTCCTCACAGTGACCCAGTCTGCATCACCATCCTTCATCAAGATCAAGACTTTGGTCTCGAAGTTCTCATGGATGGCAAGTGGCTCGTCTGCCAACGCCACCCGGAGGCCTTCGTTGTCAACCTCGGCGACACTTTCCAGGTACAAATACCCAATAGAGCTGGTAATATGGATTGGGCCCACGTTAAAGAGCTCTAACAGCTAATAACTTCATTTGTAACAAGCAAGTGATAGTAACGATTTATCATATCTTCGGATACATGTCAAAATAACTTCATTTGTAACAAGCAAGTGATATAGTAACGATTTATCATATCTTCGGATACATGTCAATTGTTTTTTGTGTCTGTATGTACTGTAGGCGCTGTCGAATGGGAAGTACAGGGGTTGTGTGCATAGAGCAATGGTGCTGAAGGAGCATGAGAGGAGATCGTTGGCTTATTTTGTGGTTCCAAATAGGGACAAGACAGTGAAACCACCTGAGTTAATCTTCGGAGAGAAAGAGGAAAGGAAGTATCCAGATTTCCAGTGGTCTGATATGTTCACCTTCACCCAAATCTATTATACGGCTGATACTGAGACTCTTAACCGCTTCATCGCATGGCTTCCCAACAAGGATTCTGTTCCTGCTGCTGAAGATGCTTAGTTACTACTTTGCCTTCCTCCTATATCAATAACGATCGTACTCTTTACTTTTATCAATGGCAATATGTGCTCGGAATAATCCAAGTTACTTATACATGTTGTACTTGGTGTCTGATCTGAATTATCTTATGTTCCCGTGTGTCTGTTACATGGGGTGATGTTAGAGTTATAATAATGAATAAATTTTTATTTTCCCTTGTGCGAGAGGATATATTCATATTTCTCTATAGATGTAATTACTTTTAAGTTGAACATAGTGACCATTACAAATTGGAAATTAAAGAACTAATAATTAGTTAATATCATAGCGTATGGCCAGCGGTTTTGCTGATATGATATAACAAAAGAAGTAAAGCTCATTTTGTTACCTCGTTGCCAATACTAGAGTCTCCTCGATAAGTCTCGTGGGAAAGATAAGTTACTATTACTAGCAGTATACACCATAAGCTTAATTTTTTTTGGGGGGGGGGGGGCGCTACGCAATGCTACATGCAACAAAATTAATTTGGGTTAATACAAATTTTGGTCTTTTAAATTTGTCATCATTTTAGTTTTGGTCCATCATATTTTAATCTAGGTTAGTTCATCAAGTTTTTTTGGTCTAAATTATTAATCCTTATAATTTAATAAAAATCTGAATCATTTTGTCTCTCGAGAAATCAAAACCCATTATTTAAAACTTAAGAGTCAAAGTCAATAATTCATGCAAACTGAAGAGACAAACCCAATTAATTATAAGAGGATATTTCTGATGAATTATCAGTACTTTCTTTTTACACTACAAAAAGAAGGAAAGACCACTTTGTTAGATGTGAGGATGTGTATCAGCATTATCCGCCCCCACATGCATTCATGTACACCATACCATGGCAAAACTACATAATTGCAATGCAGATAGAAAATGAACATAAAGATATTGATAATATTCAATCAAAATTTTGGACAGTTCAAATTCAATCTAGATATGTAATATGACTTAAAATCATTTTAACCCATCAAATCCAAACATTCGGTGAGAAAAATTAGCGAAGGATTATTTCCTCTCTAAAATGAGGCACTAACGTGGGGTTAGGGAGGAACGAAATCGCCCTCTATACCTCTAGCATAAGCGAATAATTAGTGAATTTTAATTTGTTCCTTATTAATCATAAAAAGTACTACTTCTGGTTTTTAATGTAAAAGCTAATTAACTAATTTGAGTAGATTATAAGAAAATTAATTAAATTAGCTATTTGTAATAAATAGATGTTGTCTTTCCAAAAATATTCTTATTAATCAAAAGTCTTAGTTAGAACTACCATTACTATATAGATTATCTTGAGAAAGAACAGATAAATATGAGAAACAAAGTGGATTTGAGTATTATATTTAGGATCAAAATAAAAATCAAATAAGCTCTTATATCAAAGACCGGAGGTAGTATTTAATTATTTCATCCTATATATCATAAATATTTCTTAATTTTTTAATATGAAAAAAAAATTTACACAATAATTAAGCTTAATTAAAAGCTTAATATATAATAGAACTTCAAGCATCTTGATGTTATTTTTCAGTAGCATCCAGCATTTTAATCTTATTTATAGTCTTGATGTTATTTTTTTAATTACATCCAATATCCTAAGTTTATTTATAATTTGGGGTGCTGAATGCATTATATATAAAATTAGGATGCTGGAAAAAAAATAATATTACGAATATAGATGCATCATAAATAAAATTAGAGTATTGGGTGTAACTATGAAATAATTTTAGGATGTCGGATGCTACTTTTACCTTTTAAAAATAATGAAATAAAAGTCAATAAATGATTGTAATATGTAAAATCTTTCAATATGTGAAAAGTGCAAGGAGATTATATACACTTTTAAAAGATTTTAAATTTATAATTAACTAATAATAGAAAATTTTGAAATTTAAAAAATGGAAATTACTTAAAAATATGTTTAAATAAATATTAATTTCGGATGATTTGAGAATAAATATATATAGATTCTATACAAGTTATATATATATATATATATATATAAAGACATAAAGTAATTCAATCCTTGGCCAAAAAAAAGTACTTCAATTTAAGTATTTAAAAATAAATAATTATTGATATATATTAACTGCATAAACATAACAGAGTTTGCTAAAAAATATAAATTATTTAATATTTTTAATATACAATTCTTCCGTTTTAGATTAATTTCTAAAAACATAACTTTCAATAAAAACAAAAATCTATAATATAAATAGTCGTGTGTGTGTGTATGACATTATCAGTTCAAAATAAAATATATGTGTATTTTGACAAAAAGAACATTCCTAATATGAATATATGATGTGGCAGGAATGTGGTGTAGGGACCATAAAGAACTCAACAATCCCCTTTCAATTTAGAAGCTAAATAAGGCAATATAAGGTTCAGGTTCTTTCTTTTTTTTAAAAAAAAAGGCAATATAAGCGCTGCGTGCATCCGTATAGTTTGCAATTGCAAGTATGTACATTAATATTTATCTATTACGTACATGCATGAATTTATGATTTGTAGAAGAGGAACCTATTAATTAAATTGAATTCTCACTATGCATATTCATGTATTTGGAGAGACTTATACATGCATATGTCATAGATGCTGATACATTCATTTATTATATTTTTTGTATTATTCTCTAAATGTACATCTTCTATATTTATTTTTCTGAATTAATTAATTGGTTAATATGTATTACTTTTAGAAACAATCTCAAAAAAATACCTTTAAAATTTTAAAATCCCAAATCAAGAATTATTACAAAAATGTGTTGTTATTTGCTTTTTAAACGTTGTTAATCGTTATTAAATTATAGTAAACAAGACTGATTTGAAATTTTAAAATTTTAAAGTATTTTTTAAGGATTCTCCCTTGCTTTAATTCATGTTGTTAAATGAAAAAAAATGATTAAGAAGAAACCGGCAATTATTAATTATTTTATTCCAAAAACGTCTCTCCAAATGCTGAAATTCATCATGAACCATTTCATTTTTCATTAATCCATGAAACATCCAATTAACTGATCAACAATGTTAATATCTATCAAGAACAAAAATTGGGAATAAATCTATATATTTTTTATTAAAAAAATATTTTAAAAAAATTTTCTTAAAAAAAAAAGGTTCACCCTCTTTAATGAATTTAACATTGAATCTGGTGGTCATTCTCCCCTCATTCAGTTGAAACTAATAAGCAAATACATAAAACATTAAAGACAATAATTCGGTTTCATTGCACCTTGTAGTCAACCACAGACACAAATTAATGCCAACAATAGCAAAAAAAATAAAAGAGAAGAAACAATCCCATTAATATATCTTTCCATAGAAGGAGGTTGAGGGTATATAAAGGATTCATTAGCCTCCGAAACTCACCCAACCAAACCTTCTGAGTTGTATCACAGAAAGAAGCTTCGGGTGAGCAACAATGGCGGAGACAATGAAATACGAGAATGGGATGATGGTATTCGACACAAGCTTGCTGAAACAGAAAGAGATGCCAAGCGAGTTCGTGTGGTCGGCGGAAGACCTGACGGAGACGGCGAAGGAGGATCTGAACGAGCCACTGATAGACCTGAGCGATTTCTCGAAAGGCGACGAGGAAGCCATGGCTAGGGCTTGCGAGCTCGTGAGAGAGGCCTGCGTGAAGCACGGGTTCTTCCAAGTCACCAACCATGGCGTCGACCCTCTTCTGATCCAAGCCGCTTACGACGAGATCGGCTCCATCATTGGGCTTCCTCTCGACGTGAAGCTCAACGCAAAACGGCAACGCGGCAGCGTTCAGGGCTATTCTGGTGCTCATGCCGATCGGTTTTCCACCAACTTGCCATGGAAAGAGATCTACTCTTTTGAATATAGCAACGAGGGTTCTGATTCGCAAATCACTGAGCATTTCAAGTCTGCCTTTGGAGACAACCTTAATAAACATACTGGGTATGTACATAAGGTTCAAGAACTGTTTTGGTTTGAACTAGATTAGCAATTCTGAAAGTGTTCTAAGAACTGCTTCATTTTTTCAAATACTATATCCGAATATAAGAGCTCGTTTCACTTTTATTTTGATTCTAATATATAAGAACTCAACTCATTTTGTCTTTCATATTTATCCACTTTTTATCAAGATAGTCCTTGTGGTAATAGTAATTCTAACTAATGTATTTGATTAGCAAAGGTATTCTAAAAAAAAACAACACCTATTTATTACAATTAATTAACTTAACAAACTTTCTTAATCTACTCAACTTAGTTAATTAATTTTTATATTAAGCATCATCAGAGTACAATCAATTTATGTCAACGCCAAGTTTGAGTCTGAGACCTTATCTGACGGGTGGCGCTCATATGCAACTGTTTGATTGTTGACAGGGAGGTGTATCAGAGGTTCTGCGACGCGATGAAGGGACTGTCGGAAGTGATAATGGAGGTATTGGCGATGAGTTTGGGATTGGAAAGATCATACATGAAGGAATATTTCAAAGATGGTGGAGGCATAATGAGATGCAACTTATACCCACCATGCAACAGTTCGAACCTCACCATGGGCACTGGTCCTCACAGTGATCCGACCAGTGTCACTATTCTTCATCAGGATCAGGTTGGTGGTCTCGAAGTCTTCATCGATAACAAGTGGCTCGCCGTTCACCCTCGCCCTGAGGCCTTTGTCATCAACATCGGCGACACCTTTCAAGTACGTTCCTCTTAATTATGTGTTCTCTCCGGTCTAAAATATAAGTAACTTTCAATGGACTTACCAAAAACGAGAAAAAGCGGTTGATTCATTAAATCTGTTTTAAAGGGGTGAAATTTTTCGACTTTACTCCTATTCAAATCTGTCTCCCGTCCCTCCTCTTTTTCTACATATATTCAATGTGTACCACCAATAAATAAGGGGGTGGGATTGAAAAAATATACTACTTTCAGTTATTAATATAAGATATAGTTAATTAATTTTAAAAAAAAATTAAGAAAACCAAATAAATGACTTATATTATTGATCAAGATTTTAGACCCAAGGTAACACACCTACCACTTCTTTTTTCCCCCACATGTGTGTGTGTGTATGAGTTAATGACCATACATTGTGATACTAGGCGTTGACAAATGGGAAATACAAGAGTTGTCTGCATAGGGCTTTGGTGAACAGGGAGAAGGAAAGGAGGTCATTGGTGTACTTCACTGTTCCAAAGAAGGACAAGACGGTGAAGCCACCTGAGAAGCTCATGCTGGAAGAAAAAGAGGAGAGGAAGTACCCTGATTTCAAGTGGTCCGATTTCTTCACCTTCACCCAGTACCATTATCGTCCTAATACTCATACTCTTCCTAACTTTGTCCATTGGTTTCTCTCTTCCAAATCCACCAATCAGTCCATCCCATCTTCTAATGCTGCTTAATTAGTGTCCTTTCTGTTCCTATCTCGGATGGCCAAGCTTATGAATAATGTATTCCCATGTTGCCTCTGGTCCCAAATAATCTTCTTCATGTTCCGGTGTGTCTGTTACTTCACAGCCTTCCTACCCAGGGATGATGTAATAAGAGTTATGATCAATAAAGTTTTATTTTCTGTTGTGCGAGATTATCTCTCTCTCTCTCTCTCTATATATATATATATATATATATATATATATTACCGTCGAAAAAGTACCAACGTAACCCAATGTTGATCCAAGGCCAATAATATTTCAAACCGCACCATATAACTTTTTGTTAAAGAAATGCAGAAACACATACAGATTCATATGTATCCATTTATGTTATGAATAAAGCTCATTTTGTCATTTACACATATATGCATAGATATGTATGATATATTAATCCATATACGTATACGCCGCAACACTAATTAAATATAGCAACATTAAAAGTGAAAACTGGAAATGAATATATATAGGCCGTCTGAATTACCAATGTTTTCTCTTTCACATTAGAAAAGGAAAACCAATTTTGTTAGATGTAAAGATACATGTGTAAACATTATATGTATATCAATATATACGTGCGAAACTACACATAACAAAATTGCAATGTAGTGAAAAATGAACATGAAGATGTTATATATACTTTTGAGTGTGAATGAATTACCAATTTCCCACTGAAGAATCCATATTGTCTTGGGGCTGTAATTGTTTCTGAATTGAATTTGATGAGAAAGGTAAGGAAAATGTCTGATCGGTGGTCACACAAGGAGGCGGAGGAGGAGGAGGAGGAGGAATGAGAATGGTTGAAGAATATACACTATTATTTAAAGGTAGATTATTATTATTAAAATTAATACTATTAGCATTATTATTGTGTTCTTGATGATGATGATGATGATTCTGTAGCCTTTGTTGATGATGATGATCAGAACGTTGTTGTTTGGGAATATTAAGCTTCTCTCCTTCTATCTCTCTATATTTCTGAAGGTAAGATTTCAAAGGATCCACATAGTCCTCAAAGCCAAGTGTGGTAATGGCCCAGATAATGTCATCGCCATTAATGGTCTTTCTTTTCTCTCTCTGGCACTTATCGGAGGCCTCGCCGGTGACGAAGCTGATGAACTCAGAAACACATTCTTGAACAGTTTCTTTAGCGTCCTTTGAGATTTTTCCATTTGCAGGCATCACTTTCTTCATGATCCTCCCAACGTTTGCGATGGGAAGGAACCGATCTTGTTCTTTGTTTGTTGATGATGATGATTTAAAACAAGGGCTTTCAGGACTGCCCGTGCTTGGCAAATTTGGAGTGCTAGGACTCTCTTCTTTCATTATTTTTATTATTAGCTGTTTTTGTTTGTTTTTACAGAAAGAGAGAGAGGGAAGAGAGAGAAGAAAGAGACATATGGTGTGAGGTTTTTGAGAGACGAGAGAAATGGGAATTAAGGGTTACAACGAGAAACGAAAAGTGAGGCATGAAAATAGGAATGGGCAGAGGTTGATTTTTTCACCACTGAAACCCTAGGGACTCGCTCTTGCTGTCCAAGTGGTATAGCTGACCTTCCAACGTTGTTTATTTCATAATCAAAATGATTCCCTAAAGAGAGGCATAGCATATATATTTTCTTCGTTTTTTGCTCTTGAATATATATATATATATATATATAACGTTCTTATTAAGTTTTTAGTTATTTTTGTGGGTAGAATATTTGCTGTGATTTCAGTCCTCTCTTCATTATTTTTCCTTTCTTCTCATCATCCCATTCCCATTATTGGATAAAAAACAAATGAATGTATTCAATATTTTATAAACCCATTATTATTTTTATTTCATTAGATAGTTCGCAGTTGTGAATTATCAAAATCAAATTTTAATTTTTAAAATTTATTTACTTTTTATGTAGTATTATAATCATAATTTTATAAGACGTTTACTCAACCATTTTCTTTTCTTAATTTAGTGATGGATGGGATGAAAAAAAGAAAATGGGATGAAGAATTACTGAGGAGATCCAAATCCTGAATCCTCTGTCGTTGAGCTACAACGTGAAAAACTTAATTACACATACGCAGCTGCTGAGACATTGGAACTTTTGGAGCTATTCCCAACTTTCAATGCCTAATATAATCATATAATGGTGGGAGTATTAATCATTATAATTGAAAGTCCTGAACCCTCTCTTCAGTGTCACCACTTACTAATGTCTTTGGAAGCATCTAAACTTCTCACTACTCACTATAATGTCAAAACCTAGCAGATACACCAGATGATATGATATATTTATATGAACGGATCAAGTATTATCTAAAATGTCTTACAACAGTGTACAAGAAAAGGAAAGGTATGACTACATTCTATATTTACTGTTGTTCCTCGCGTGGGGTTTTGAGAGAGTTCAAGCTGCTCAAATTACTTTAGGGCTAAGCATTAGGAGTTTCGGTTAATAATCACTTGGCGGACTAAAATAAGTCTATTTGGTCATATCCAGAAGAAAGAAAATTTTTTCCCCGGGGGGGGGGAAGGAGGTCAATTTGGTTACACTCGGGCCAGAAGTCAAAAGCAGATACGAGTTCAAATACATGATTATACTATCGAAATTCATCCCTTTCTTTCAATGAAAAAAAGATAATCTTTTTATACGTAAAGATCCTTCCCAAAACCAATGCTGATCTTTTAACCGGATTGTAGTGACGCAACTAAAAAAGTATTTGGTATTAGATAAAAATGCTTTTAAAAAACACTTTTTTCATTAATTGAAATAAATTTATCCACATATTTATTTCAGATGCCGTAAAATTACTTTTAAAATTATAATTTGATTTGTATTAAGTACTCTTAAGTAAAAAGAGCCCAACTTGCAGTTAACACGCCAAATTAAGAAACTGGTGGTTGGCGGGACCGCATCATGCGCTTCCAATCCAAGTACTCAATTGTTTTCTACTTTCCTTCATTTAATTAATAAAATCTGATGTCAGGAATGCACTGAGATCATGTTTATTCAACTAAATTTGGTACACTTCGAATCTTTGTTCCGAGACTGACTTGATCGTCTAATAGAGTTCGTTGAACTTGAACCTGGTCCCCACCGTTTGAAACTGATAAGCGGTAATAGAATTTGGATTCTCCCCCATCCAACTCACGAACAAGTTGACAAATGGGAACAAACATACCAGTTGACCCTAGCTTCAAATCCTAATTACTCCACAAGAGTAGGAAGCAGTAACCCACTTAGAATCTCTGGTGCCCTCTACAAGAAGGTACGATGAAAAATAAGAAGAGGGTAGGCCGGAAAGCACGAGTATTAAAAAAATTTATAATTTTTTTAGGACCCAAATGTTCAAAATATCAACGGTATCATACCATCAGTTCTGGCATACATCTGCCAGTATGATTTCAAGAATAACAGACTATTAGGCTTCTAAACCAATTGCCTTTACACTTGCAAGAATGCTGCTATCAGGTTTCCTTCCCCACTATTCAACATTACAGTAGAAGACATCACCCTCTGAATAAATATCAATATAAAAAACCAAAGGAGGACGGAACACTAAAGTGCCTAACTAACATGATACATGTCTTGAGTGGAAGTACCAGTTACACAAGATTTTTCTGTCCTTTTTTTTTTTTTTGGCAAAAAGCAATCAAAAGTTACACGAGAAATTAAAGCAGCCAAAACCCAAAAATCAACTAATTTCTCATCTGTGGCGCCTCCATGACTAGGCAAGAGCGTACTCAAGTTTTTCCGATTCTGTCGGCCGCCACATGGACTTCTCGACACAGAGCAATCCCTCCTTGTCCTTGGAGTAAGTCATGCGAACCTCCCACTTCATTGCCCTCACCATGCTTTCAAGCTCAGTAATAATATCAACATTGTCGCGCACAATAAGCTTCCCCTCAGGCCTGAGAATCCGATCAACCTCAGCAACAACAGCCACTAAATTGCACCTGCGTAACCAAACCAATCCAGATTTTAGCAATCTGACTATTAAATGCTGTTGGCGATGAATGTGAAAAGACAGCAACTAATGCCACACCTCTTCTTAAGCTTTGAAAACAAATGATCTGCATGGACGAGATCATAGGTCCTAGGGTACGTACTAAAGGATTCACACCAATCATGATATATGCCAAAAAGACCACGCTCGTATATAATGGGAAGAGTATCTGCGGTCTCTATGGAAACCACGTTCATGACCCATATTTTCAAATCCCTCAGAGCAGCGGCAAATCTGCAAACCATACCCAAAGGAAATAGCAAGCAAGGATGTCAGATGATAATCACAAGCCATTATAACTCGAAATGAGCAACAACTGAAACAATGAATTTTGCTCACCCTCCATAAACAGATCTCATATCCATGACATTCCTCACATTCGACCAGTCAATTCCCATCCCATTTAGATAAGACTTAGACACTACACGACTCCAGTGTTTATAGTCAGTAGTAAAATCATCAGGGGCAGGCTTCCCATATACTCCAGTTTGGGAACTCAACAACCAGTATGGTGCTTTGGTCAGTCTTGCTGGCCACTGCTCCGGCCATTGTGATCCACGTTCACCAGAATCCACTGGCACTTTGTGCATGCAAGCTTGCAACGGAATATTCCTGTCACACCAAATAGATTAGACCTTCACATTATATTAAAAGTCTACAAGTTTATTGAATGAGACCTTGTAGAACAACGTTTTGATTAGCAGCGGAAACAATAAACATCAATCCAAATGTATTCAAGTTAATGATTTTTATACGTGAACACAGTATGCCTCCTAAAAGTTTCACTTGCTTCAAAATAGCATTAACATATCAGTAAAGCAAAAATACCATGCTGCATTAGGATCATCCGAATCTGAACACATAGGGGGATCATTCTTTGAACGTTTCTCATAGCACTCATTAGAAAGTGGCTTCCTGTAGATAGCAATACCCACACCATTAACTTTATCCTTGGTGATTGACACAACTTCCCAGCACATAGC